AGAGCGAGCGAGAAAGGGGGGGGGGGTGGCAGAGCGACCGAGAAAGGGGGGGGCAAACGGGATAGGGACTGACACTCCAAAGGTGGATCTGTTTGTGGTGGGTGCACGTGATAGTTAGAGGTGACGGCCCGAGATACAGGTGCAGGTTACTTCTTCTTCTCGATTTCGGGCAAGTCAGCACGCGGAGCTCTTTCTACGATTACAGGCACCCGATGAGGGTACTTGACTCGTATCCGATGCGCCTCTGCGGCCCTCTTCTCTGAACGAGCATTACATTTCCTTGTGTGAGTGTTTACCGAAAGGCACCTCCTCCCGAATAGCTACCATAATTTTTGACGATGACCCAAAGATGATAGAAAAACGAACCTGTCTAGACGAACCGGCTTGTAGATCTGTCTAGGCGTCTTTTCCCCTCGGTTTTTCCAGGACACAGACACGGACTATGCCACAGGATAATCTCGTGAGTTCTTCAAATTTAGCGGCTGGTCTCTCAGTAGTGATCAACATGATTCTCCCAATAGTTGCCGCTACCCCACCGCTTCCCGTTATGACATGGCGTCGTGATCATGGTTGCTTTTTAGCGTGTTGAGATAGAAGGGGGTGTGGCTAGGCGTTTTGCAGACCCCCGAATGGCTGCTCTTTACTTGTTGACAACGTACGATGTGCCGCTGATGGAATTCGTCGCCTGGTCGCTCAAAGAGCGCGCTTTCATACTCAATAAGCCGAATGCCGTCATGGAGCATGCATGGAAGTTTGGGATCCTGCAAGATCACTCCTTAACGCAGCTCAAGGAGCACCTAGAGGGACACAGCGGCGTTCCACAACTGGGAGCCTCGCCCATGAAGCACTTGGCAGCTACAGACCTCGCAACGCCTCCTGCGAACCATGCCTTCCTCGACCTGCCGAGCGGCGGGGCTTTCACTACGACCGGCCGCAGAACGGACTCGCGAAGACCATGCAGACGCGTCCGCATCAAAGGTGAGCTGGGCATCACGTCGGACGATTCACTTGGCACCACCGCAGCGACTTCTAACACGTGTGCGCTAGACTCGAACACGTGCGCCATTGGCTCGGACACGTGTGCCCTGATCTCTGAACCTACTGACAACACTACACTGGAGACCACCGGGTGCAACAGCGGCGGCCCTGGACACGGAGGCCTTGCACATGGCGGCCCTGGACACGGATCCGATCATCTCCTTAGGCGCGCTGCTGACATGACTCCGGTAGCCTCGGACGCTGCAGGACACGATCGACGACGTAGACGGCCAGTGGGCGTCCTGAGCAGCGAGAAGGCTGTTAAGCGGACAGCTGAGCTGCCTACTCGGAAGAGGGGCAGTAGTCGAAGAATACCCGAAAAGGAGAACGTCACTGAGTGTCCCGAGTGCGGACGGAGAGGACAAAGCATTTTCGACCCCAGCATCTCTGACCGCGAAGGCCACGTCTGGCAGTATTTCTACTGCCGTAACATGCTCTGTCCAAAGGGCCGGAGCTGCAACCGCTACATCGGCTGGGCGATCCGCCCAGTTGACCGATAACAAGCAATCAGCCGGGGCTGGGCATTTGCCTGTAAGCGGAATGGATGCAGTACGAGACGCAGTGCGGCTTCTTACAAGGCTGCATCTCGCTTGTCAACAGTTGTGGCTCCTGCACCCCTATTCTAAATTGTTACCACGAATAGGACTATCTTTAAAGGACGGGTCTCGTATACTGGTTAGCCAAGGCAAAACATCTTCTCGTATACTGGTTAGCCAAGGCAAAACTCTCTTGTCATCTTTAGTCGTATGTACCCCGATGGCCAAGTCATGACTAAATGGAAGTAACTCTTCTGCTACACTCAACTACCTCGTCAGCTGCGCTACCTTGTCAGCTGACCATGGCTAGCTTGTGCGTTGCGCATGCCCTTGCTCATCGAGCATGACGTGACTGACCTGACGTGACTGACCTGATATTCACTTTTATATACGACCCCAGTCTGCTCGGATTGACCAAAGCGGCTCCTGATGGCACTCCTGATGGCACTCATGATGGCGACACATGATGGCGACACATGATGGTCGCACCTGATCGATGGCCGCGAAAGACTCCTTCAAAACCCTTTCAGGGTGGGAGGCCCCTGCTATGGAGGACCCCTCTGGTGGAAGACCCTACCCCTTCGGCAGAAGCCCCCTATTACATCGTTATGAAGGAGTCCGGGCGGCCTCATCTATATCGGTCACGGTCGCGATCGCGGTCTCTCTCTCGGTCTCTCTCTCGGTCTCGGTCTCTGTCTTGTGATCTTGCGTCCTTATTTTCGGTCACAGTCAAGTTGACCATTTCGGAGATATGTATGGCTACTCCGTTGAGCCAGACGTGTGTTTTGGGTTCACTTGGTGTGAAGGCAACGTAGCAATTAACTCCGTTGATAGGAGTGGCGTTGGAGTGATGGTAGGATTCTCGCCAGCGGTCAAGGTCGGGTGCGTTGGTGATATGCACATGGCTGGTTTTAGGTTGGCATTCGATGAGTGAGCGATCGACGGCGATGACAGTGTGTTCATTGCCGGGTGTATCGCTGTACCACACATTCCATTTGCCTTGACCGCCGTTTATTTCGTTTGCTGGCAATTTCTCGGGTGGCACGGAAGTGGACGTGAGGACGTTTTCGGTGCCATCGGGACCTTTCACGAGGTTGAAGCTCGTGGCCGCTGCGGCGGCTGTGTTTAGCAGCGGTTGCTGGTTTCCAAGGTTGGTGCAGTACGGGCATCCAGGGTCGTACGAGTACATGCTCACTGGGTCCAAATTCTGGCGGAATTTCGCCTGTGAATCCCGCAGCCACCGCTCCGCTGAGTCCTCCCACGTCCCACCATAACGACCCGGCCCGTAGCCCAACGCCCGATGCGGTTCGCCCGAGCCGTACAGATAATCCGTGTTCCCAAGGTGGTAGTCGCCGTATCGACCACCGGGTCCTCCACGGTATGCCGTTTCTTGAAAGAAGGCGGAAGGGTTACCCCGAAGAGGCGGCGGTACACCCCCATAACCACGGTCATTCAAGTTAGCACGGTACCGTCGTCGCAAACGCGGGTCTACCACTGTACAGTCGCGCCATGATGATGTACGCAAGTCACCTTCCGCCTGCAGAGAATCCTCCAAGTCCTCATCTAACCGCGCCCACTCCCGACGGTGCCCACCTTTATTGAAACGAGGGTGCCCCATACCCGAACGACAACAGCAACAGCATTCTTTTTCACACTCACACCTCTCTCTCCGCCGCCTACTTCTCTCCTCCGCACCTGAGACAAGCTCTTCAGTACCCACATCCTCACAATCCCACCGCTGACGGCGGCCGGTGTCGGTGCGCCTCGGTGCCAAGATCTGTACAACACAATACGCATAGTTCTCGAACAAACATGGTCCTCATCGGATAAGGACGGTTCACAAAGGGGAGGCACAAGGGGGAGAACAGGGCTACCTTCATCTCTTTGTGGATGTCCCTTGGTATAAATAAGTCTTTGTTCGGGGGAGGTCTAAGTTCTTGCCAGTCCTCGTCGTTCATTTAAAATGTGCAACAAACGGCGTCTGGTCGTATGGTTGTCAGTCCTCCTAATCCTGCTAGTGTACCTGGGCTACAATGTACTGGAGCCCTTTCGATCTCGAGTTCAAGTTGTGTTACCGGAGTTAGCTCGGGATATTGAGTCGAATGTAGCCGCTTTGAAAAGTGTGGGGAAGTGGTCTTGGCTCAGCGCCGATAGTGAAGTCAATTACAGCCATTATTACGGGGACAGTGGAGGCAGAATTACACGTGTAATCGCCTTGCTGAGTAAGACATTATGGAGAAGTGACAATATACGTGAGGAGCTAATAATTAGTTGTCTCGAGTACGTGTTTGCATGCAGTCGCCTTTTCAGTGCTGGAGTCAAGCTAGTTGTCTGCTCAACCAAATTGTTTCTGCGATGTTGCATATACCTTTCTCCATGGCTCATCAGCTACACACGACAGGGCTGTATTGCCTTTTACGAGATAGATACCCAAAATAAAATCAAGATTCTGTCCGCCGTGGCAACCTTGGGCATAGTTGGCTACGTCAAGAAGAAGCGCTACGTGAGCCGAAGCCTTGACGCCATATCCATGGCACACTATAAAACTAGCAAATTCCTCACCTTCACCGGACCTTACGTGCTCATTCTGCTAACTGCCTATCTGCCTGCCAAGCTATCGTTCAGAAATACCTCCGCCTTCACTTACATTCTGGTCACCACCTTGGTCGTCTTCATGATTGTACTCAGCTTAAAGGCATCAAGTGAATTCTCGAGACTCGAATCCAAATACCAGGCTCTCAAAAAAAGCAGATACTCGGCTTATCTCTCGTCTTCAGCACCACCGGGAACTGGCTGTAGAAATCAGGACTCAGAACGTCTACAGACAGACCGTCTACAATCATCAGAGCGCATACAATCAGGTCGACGATCAGCCCAAACAACTAACGAAAAATTCGAAATGGCCACCTCTCCTAGAATCATGGACAGGCTCAGACTTTTGGTCACTCCCCGATATGTTGAGGACCCGATACAAGCCGACGAAGCAGCGAAAATGTTTGAAACACGCTACAAGCTTAGCAACCAGGTTACGATCTGTTTATCCTCCTGGATTGGCTTGGCCTACTACCATCTGGCGACGCTTCTACCTCAGTACATCTTAGAGAAGTTTGGAGTTCGGCGATACAATTTATGGTCATTTATCATCCGAAGAGGTAACATAGCCGACTCAATTGTTTCAAGTCCCTTCCTATATGGCGCAGCCAACTGCCTTGATGAAATTGTGGTTATTACTCTGGCAGTTGCGGTCCTGGTGCGCGATACTGCTTTCGCCAGACACGTGCGCGATTTTAGCGCACACGCGTTCGATGTGACCGCAACGAAAATTACCGGGTTTTCAATCAAGTCAAATGACATAAACAGGTCGGAAACAACCACTGGAACGGACAGAGACGCCTTGCTGGAGTCCCCTCTGACCTCGGCGGTTGCCCGAATGCTGCCTTTTGGAGAGTACCTGACATTCGCCGCCGAAAACTGGACTCAGATGAGATCGATATTTCTCCATGCGGTGCCGCTGCTCTTTATGCCCCTGCCAACGTTCATGGTGAAGACTGCACTAGTGGTGTACGGACTTGTACTGCCTTGCACTTACGGCCTGCGCGCCACCTTGGCAGGCAACGCAACCAACTGTCACTACTGGCTCTGCTACTTCGCGATACTGAACGCGGTGGCGTTGGGCTGTTACTCCGCCATGAGCGTAGCGTGCTACGTGATCCAGTCCTCTCCAAGGCTCAAGCTACTCATGCTCATGCTGCTGCAATATGGCATCGAACAACCACGACTGTTCTGGGCCTACCTGGCGACCAGGACTTCTCCACCGGCATCCCAGAATCCACCACTTATCAGTGAGCGTCCAGAAACGGCCAGCCTAAGCCGCTCCAGCAGCCTAGACAATGCCTCGGCCATGTACACGCCCGCTGCCGAGAAGGCTGCCATCAGGAACAGAAGAGCCAGTGAGGACAGCACCATCGTAAGTAACAGCGCTACTTCGGTAGTGTCCAAGAAAAAAGTGAAGATGGCCAAGCGCTGATTCAAGCAAACTCGACCAAGCAATTTGACGACCAAAAAGCGGGACCAAAACAGCGGGACCAAATGAGCAGCGAAGCAGTACCAAAAGAGCAGTAGGCCGAGAACAATAGAACACGAGGTAGCACATGGTCACGAGATAGCTCTACCCAATCAACTGGCACCCGGGGCCTTCTTCTTGCCCTCCTTGTACTCCGCAACGATAGCTTCGACTTCTCCAGCTCGGTCTCCCATGTTCGGATTGACCTTCTTGAACATGCCGGCCGTATCATCGCCCATCATGCGAGCGACATCGACTTTCCGCCTCTCTGCCTTGAGCTGAACAGGAGATAGGGTGTGTGGAGTGTCTTCCTCGTGTTGGAGTGTTACTCGGGTGCTGTGTTGGTTACGTCTTCTTGGAGATTCTGTTTGTATGCCTGTTCTTGGCGCGCTGCAGCGCCTCCGAAGCCCCAGACTTCGAGATTGTCGATTTTCGCTTCCCGGGTATAGTTGGTGTCCGCGGAGCCGAAAAGCGAGCCGCTTTCGTAGGTCCTGCAGGCGATGGTGGTGGAGACGGTGCAGAGGTCGGCGTGCACGAGAATACGGAAGTCCTTTTCGTCGCCGCCGAATCCGAGGCCCTTGGGCATGTACTGAGAGGAGCGGTTGAGCATGACGAAGTTGGATTCATAGTTCGTGGGTTTGCGAATGATGAGCGCTTCCTGGTTGCCGGGGCCCTTAGCGGTGTCTATGCCGAACAGGTAGGACTCGGCAGTGCCGAAGTATTTGGAGCCGTTTTCCACAAGTCCGTTTTTGACGAAGGCGCCAATAACTCGTTGTTCGTTCTTCAGCGTGATGAGGAGGAAGCAGGGCCCTGGGTAGTCGGCGACGCATGTGATGAAGCGGCCCCAGGATTCGCCTTGTTGGTGGAGGGAGAAGAGCAGTTGGGGCGCTTCGAGAGTACAGGCATTGGCAGCGTGGCTGCCTTTGCAGATAAGGAAGAACTGGTTGTCGGAGACCACTTGGCTGGCGGGAGGTTCGTCAGCACGGTGGGTAGGGGTCTTAGGGAAAGCACGATTTTTGACTTGGCTGTCGAGGTTGAAGCCGTTGAGGTTGGCCAATAATTTGCAGACTGCGTCCAGGTCATCCGGCAGGAAACTCCAATCACCAGCGTTGGCGAACACATGTGTGTCCTGGTCGTCGTAGATGGTCCGGACTGCCTGCATCAGCTCCTGTGTGTTCGCGGCGTTCTGGCGCAGTGCCAGCATAGTGTCCAGACCGTTCAGTGCCACCGTCTTGCCGCTCTCTAAAGTGACGGTTACTGTAGAGGCGCCGCTCGGGGCCGCTGTCGGACGACTCGGGGTGGCAGTCGCGGTGGCGTTGGTGGTTGTGGTGCTCAATGGTACTTGAGCCAGGGCCCCACTGGACCTGCAGGTATCCACGGCCTCATCTCTCCCGCACAAGGCCTGCCCCATTAGAAAAAAACGAGGCATGAGCCACCCGTATGCTTCGCGCCAACACCTAGTCTGCACCCACGCTGGCTTCAGCAACATCGTGACGCTCGTTGCGACGCTGGAGGCCGAAAACCAGTCGTTGAGGAACAAGTGTAAAAGCCAGTCGGTGCGCATCCTAGTCGTGGCGATCCAGAGGATCTACGACCGCCAGATTGCGTAAGCCGCACTTAACTCCTACCACCGGCAGCGGTTGGATAGGGTTAGTGGTCCCACTCCAGCACAGACACCCGCAGAGTCGGTGTCTGGAGGGTGTGAAATATGGTTGGCTTTTAGAGACGGGTTTCTGTGTCTAGATACCAACCGGTTCGACGACATGGGCAAGTGGGCGGCGGCATTGAAGCGGGCGACGGTGGGTACCTTGAATTTTTAATGAGCGACTTCGAGTATGAAGACGACGATTACGGCTACGAGGAGGATGGGGCGGGTGTTGCCGACCTGTTTACGGAGGCGGAGTTCGTGGGATTGCGCTCTCCCGCCGCACACGTGCTGCTGCGCCGGGTACTCGAGACCGCCACCGAAGCGGACACATCCACCCTCAAGAAGGCGCTCCTCGCGCTGCTCTGCCACCCGCTGACTACGCTGGACGCTGCCGTGGACTTGGTCAACCGTCTGCACGCTGTTGGGGGGGACATGGACCGCGCAAACCTCAACAAGGGCATCAGCCAACTCGTCCGGCTAGGCGGCGGCCTCGCGCTTCTTAAGGCCCAACCCTGGTGCCGAGGGGACCTCATGCGCCTCACGCTCGTGACTTGGGCCGAGTATAATCTCAACACAACCACCACACGCTCCATTGACGGAGCACCCGCCAATGTGGGATCGTCTACGGACGGACCGTCTACAAACAAATGTCAGTTGGGTCGCGAGCTGAAGGAGTGCGAGGACGAGCTGTATGACTGGGTCTTGGCTGCAGTGAACAAACCCCCGGGAGCGACGCCTGTGTGCAGCGCGCTCTACATCATCCTGCAAATCCACCACCAATGGGTCGCGGAAAACTACCAGATCGGGGAGAATGGGGCCGGGGAGCGCGGATTCGTGGAGGCGGACTCATTCCCATTAGACCAGCGGTGCAAGAGGATTCTGGACTACCTGCAGCGGACACCGGATGTGAACACGGTGTTGGACATGTTCGTCAAGACGTTTGTGGTTAATTTGGCTCTAATTGACTACTGCATCCTCACGGACTCGTTCGACCGCGCGTGGGACCTGACCGTAGACTTGCTGGCGATCGCGAACAACCAAGTGCAGCACACTACATGTCACGCTGAACTGTACAAACGAGTGCTGGTCCTGGAGATCTTAGCACCCAGAGATATTGACATCAACACCCTCTGTAACCTGGGCACCCATGGCACCCTCGCGGCGGTTGAGAGCCGGCCGGCCTTCCGGCACCTGCTGGATCTCGTCAACAATAAAGCTTTAGTTCAAGACTGGAACCCTTCGCAGCAAATACTCGTGAAAGTTCGCAAATTCGCCATCAGACGATCAAGGTAAACCAAACGGGCTTCTATGGCACTTTCTCTGGAGGGGGAGGGAGTGGAGGTGAGAAGAACCCGAATGGGGTT